CAAAGAATTTAGATGTCCCTTTTTCTCCCCAATGACCCATCCCACCCTGTCCCTTCCCCCTCCCCAGTCCCTCTCCCCACCACTGTCCGTGTCCTTGGGTTGTGCATATATGCATATAAAGTCCTTGGTTACTCTTTCCCCCTCCACCCACCTGCCCTCCTCCATCCCTCTGACATTCATCAGTCTCATCTATGCTTCCATGTCATTGAATCTATTCTGTTCATCAGTTTATTAAGTTCTTTAGATTCCACGTATAAGCGAGATCATGTGATGTTTGTCTTTCGCTGCCTGGCTTATTTCACTTAGCATAATATTCTCCAGGTCCATCCATACTGTCCCAAAGGGTACGAGATCCTTCCTCTTTACAGCTGCGTAGTACTCCGTGGTGTAAATGTCCCATAGCTTTTTTATCCACTCATCTACTGATGGGCACTTGGGCTGTTTCCAGATCTTGGCTATTGTAAACTGTGCTGCTATGAACATCGGGGTACATATATTCTTTCTGATTAATGTTTCAGGATTCTTAACACAATTTTTCATTGCTTGATTCAATCAGGTCTTAATTATGTTTTATTAATCCTCTGTTAACTTCTATTTATAAAAATTTTTGTCTATTCAGTAAAGGATCTTTATGCATCTCTGGTTGAAACTTGTTAGAATTCTGAAACACAGAAGGAACATTTCTTTTTGTAAAGCAATGTCATCTAATGATAGACTTGATACTTTTAATTTACAGCTAGCTACGCTAGAAAATATGTTTAAGATTTTAAAAAACTGCCATACCCCTGTAACCACTTAATCTCAAGATTTAATGTGATGTTAAAGCAACTTTCTAAAAATCAAACAACAAAACTATACTTTATAAGTTGTCCTCCATCACTATCTTTGGCAATTACCTACCATTATCATTTCTCTCCATTATTTTTATTCACTTTTATTATAGCTCTCCAGATCATTACCTCCAAATAAAAAAGAAGACAAGGGAATGAAAGATGTAGAAGTGGAAAAGGGATGCAAAAAAAAAAAAAGTGGAGAAAAAATAGCTTGAAGTCAACCAACAGATGAGGGAAACAATTCTTAAGTCTATTATTTCAATTATTTCCTTTAGACACAGCACTAGATAACTTTGGGTACAGATATATGACTGTCATATTTTATTATCAAAATGGTCCTGCTTTACAATAAACATAACCATATCATTTACTTTTATTTCCTTGAAAGTTGTGGGCTATGTGGTAACTAGACAGTTTTTGGACTTTCAAATAAGAAAAAATATTTACATTACATAACCAGAATCATTATTATGTTTTTGGTTAACATACCTATTATTGTCATGATCCTAAAACTGTGCCTACATTTAGAGCCACAAAGGGATTCTAACAGATGTCATTTTAATCCTGAAGGATTTGTGGCATTCACAGATAGAAAGTACATAAGTAATTATAACAGAATGAAATAGTAAACAGATTAACTGAATCCAATCAAGTGGTGTAACAATCTGTCCAGGAGTAAACTAATGAATTAGAAATGTTTAAATTGATTTTAAGGAAATAGGGCCATACGAGTACCCTGTTTCAAGAACAAAGCTACTATAAAATAGAGCTCTTGTGTGGCCACTAGTTTTGGGCAAAGATCACCATCCTAGCTAAGGACTTCTTA